GCCCCCTAGCCCCAGGTCACACACAGTCAGGTGGTTCACTGCCGGGCTCACCCTTCTTCACCCTGGCTTCCAGGAGCCCTGGCAAATGTCAGCCTAAAAATACCACAAGACCTGGGCACGGCACCAGAGGGCTGGCTGCCTATGCCGCAGATCCAGGGATGGGATGGGGTCGGTGCGCTCTGGGGGCTGTAGGGCATCAGCCACGCCCTGTGGTCAACCGAGGCCCTGAAATGTTTGAAAGGGCTTGGCGTTCCTACCAAATGTCCAGTGTGGAAGGCTGACCTGCTGCCTCCCTGTGGGTCCTGGCACAAGTGTGTGTGTGAATCCACATTTGTACATAGCGTCTGGTTTGATGTGGGCTGACAGGGTACCTCTGGCTTACTCTGGAACATTTCTTGGCTTCTAGATCTCAGGGAAATCTTTCATAGGCCCTGAGCAAGGGTACACTCCCCACCGCCCTCCCCCTGTGCAGCTACTCTCACACTGGCAGTTCCTGGTTGCCTGTGCCATTGGTTAAGGTCCGTCTCCCTTGAGCTCCATTGAGGCAGGGGCCATGGCTGCCTGACCAGTGCTGTGTCCCTAGAACCCACCGAGAGCCTTGTATGCAGTAGGTGCTCCATAAGTACTCATTGTTGAGCACTGTGCTGTGACTGAGAGATATTCCTGCTTCCCTCTATGCATCCCCACCTGCTTCCAGCCTGTGACTCACCGAACAGCAGATAGAGACATTTAAAAATATGAGTCAGATCACATTAGACCCCACATTTGGAATAAAACCAGAGTTTCTCCCTGCAAGGCCGCCCGGCCAGGCCACTGCCCAGGTCTGACTCCATCCTGCACTCCCTGCTCCCTGTGGTCTAGGCACACTGGGCTGCTTCCTGCCTCCCCAGCTCCCCAGGGTCTTCCCTGTCGCAAGGCCATTGCACGTGCAGTTTCCTCTGCCCCCAAAGCTCTCAGAGCTTAACCTAGTGGCTCCTTTTTGTTACCGGTGTCACTCCTCAGAGAGGCTGTCCCTGATCACCCCACGTGCAATTACTGTCCCCTCCACCCTCAGCATTCCATCAGAACACTTAGCCTTCTCCGAGAGTTTACTTGGCTTCTGTCCCCTCAACTAGATGGTGGCTCCATAAGGACTGAGACCCTGTCTGCCTCATTCTATGCTGTACCCCAGGGCCTAACACAGGACATGGCACATAGCCAGACCAGGCACGGGAATGTCTGCTGAGTGAATGCAGGCATGCAAGCCTGCTAAGGGTCACTAGCTGGTGGTGCCATGTCTTCAGATGGGGGTTTGACTCTCTGGGAATTGACTGGACATGCCGTGTCCTGCAGATGAAGTTGCTGCCCTTCCGGCAGAAGAAGGCCCACATCATGGAGATCCAGCTGAATGGTGGCACAGTGGCTGAGAAGGTGGCCTGGGCCCAGGCCCGGCTGGAGAAGCAGGTGCCGGTGCACAGCGTGTTCAGTCAGAGTGAGGTCATTGATGTCATTGCTGTCACGAAGGGCCGTGGCATCAAAGGTAGGACCAGGTGGAGATGGCAGCTTTCAGAAGGCTGCCTGGAGGGGATGGAAGCCAGACTGCCCTCTCAGCCACCAGTCCCTCCCACCTGCAGGGGTCACGAGCCGCTGGCACACCAAGAAGCTGCCTCGGAAGACCCACAAGGGGCTTCGAAAGGTGGCCTGCATCGGTGCCTGGCACCCTGCACGAGTGGGGTGCTCCATCGCCCGGGCTGGGCAGAAGGGCTACCACCACCGCACGGAGCTCAATAAGAAGGTGTGTCCGAAGGCCCTTTGGGTAAGGGGTGCCATTGTGACAAGGCCCCAGTTGGTGGAGCAAATGACCCAGACACTGCCCGGCTCCACAAAGGCTCTGAAATGCACCCACCAGTTCCTGGGTCTAAGCCCGCAGCTGATGGGTGTGGACATATTGCTGGCCCCAGAGGCTGCCTGCTGCCCTCAACGTGTCCTGTTCTCCTGGCAGATATACCGCATTGGCCGGGGGCTGCACACGGAGGATGGGAAGCTGGTTAAGAATAATGCGTCCACCAGCTACGACATGACTGACAAGTCCATCACACCGCTGGTAAGGGGGCAGCAGCCAGTTTGGCTGAGGGGCCCTGATGAGTGGGTGTGGGACAGGTGTGTAGGGTGCTGCAATGCCACAAGAGCGCAGGCCCCACCCAGCAGCTGCCTGGTGGAACAAACCCCTTTCTTCCTGTATTCTGAGCCTCCTCTGCAGACAGCTTACACTCCAGCAGCTGTCATGACGTACAGAATGCGGCTTCTCTGATTGTGGCCTCGGAGGCAGGCTACCAGGTTTTGAATTCCAGCTGCACTATGTGCTGGAGCAGATGACTCCACCCCCCTGAGCCTCAGTTTCCCCTGTGTAAAACTCATATTGTTAAATGAGATACTGCAGAAGTCTCTGGGTGGGCTCAGATGCTGCTTTGATCAGTGATAGAGGGCGTCACTCCATGACCAGGAGCCAGCACTGGCTCCTGCCAGTCACAGCCCAGTATGGGAGTTCTTGCAGGGCTCCCAGCTGCCCTCTAACTCAGTCTTGACCCTGACCCACCTCCCCACAGGGTGGCTTCCCTCACTATGGAGAAGTCAACAACGACTTTGTCATGCTGAAGGGTTGCATCGCGGGAACCAAGAAGCGGGTCATCACACTGAGGAAGGTCAGGGCAGGCAGTGGGTTGGGGAGCTGGGGAGCAGGAGCCTCACAGGCTTTGGGAGGAGTGGGTAGCTGTCCTGCCTTGTCTTTCGGTCTGCTCTGAAGAGCGTTGGGCATGGGGAGAGCAAAAATGGAGGGGTTCTGACAGAAGACAGGTGAGCTGGGGGTTACTGGAGGGCGCAGGCACTTCCACCTTAAGGCTCTCCCCTTCTATGGATCCCCAGTCCCTCCTGGTGCACCACAGCCGCCGGGACCTGGAGAATATTGAACTCAAGTTCATCGACACAACCTCCAAGTTTGGACATGGCCGCTTCCAGACAGCCCAAGAGAAGAGGGCCTTCATGGTGAGTCCCTCCTCCCTCTCTGGAGCACAGAACTCACATCCCACCTGCTCTAGAGCAGGGAAGCTCAAACTGGGGTGGCGGGATGCCCCTGCCTTCATCCATAGGAGGGGGCTTTTAGGAGTCCAGGCCTGGGCACTGATTCTTTCTGGAAAAGAAGGTAGGGGAGGGGCGTTCAGGGAGAGGGGCGGCAGGGCTGACTCTGGGTGACTCAGGCAGCCAGCCAGAGACAGTATTCAGAGCCAGGTCCCTGTGACTAACGCTCCTCCTGCTCCTTCCACCACAGGGTCCCCAGAAAAAGCATCTTGAGAAAGAAAAGCTGGAGACCTCGGGAGACTTGTAGGCGGTTTGGGATGGAAGGAGCCTAAAAGAAGCATGTGCGACCCCCGCCAGTGCCCTTTGTCTAATAAAGGCTGGAGGCAACTCTTTCCGCGGTGTCTGAGTTGAGGGCCTGGAAAGGCCGGTGGCAGGCCTGTGGTGTTACCGAACAAGAGGTGGTCCGAGGGAGGGGCAATACAATATTTGGCCCATCCAGGGATGCCCAAATACTGCTATACAACAGGGGCCCCTCCCGAAAACAAAATACTGATATCTACTGGGCCCTTCTGTCCGCCGCCAATTGGAAAGACATCTCTTAAAGCCAGAGATTTGTGAAAAGGAAACAAAATGTTTATTTAATGCTATTCAGGCCTAATGCCTCCACTAAAATATCAAAGTCCTTTAGGGTATACACCTACACCCACACAGCGTTCCCTTCTCCCACTGTCCCAACTCCGGGTACCGTAAATCAGGAAAAGAGCACACGTCTGTGTTGCAGGCCGCTGGCACCGTCAGCTGTGTCACTGTGCAGGATCTCGAGTTAATCCAAAGTACTGTGGTACCCTCTCATGGTCCACTGGCAAGAGTCCTTTGTACCCAGTTCCAGTCAAAGTCTCTCTTGCTTTTTCAGGCCCCGCAGCCAAAGGGGGCACCCCAAAGTCGAGTGGGCCTCTTCTACCAAAGCTGCAGGAGTCCGCACTCTACCAAAAGCATGTGGCTTTCTTCTTCACCTGGCTGCAGGGATCTCCATTCTGGCAAAGCTGCGTGGTTCTTCCCTTTCACCTGGGGAAGAGGGGGTCCACACCCTGCCAAAACCACGTGGCTCCCTCTTTCACCTCACCTAGAGGGGGTCCTCACTCTGCTGTGGCTCTCTCTCCATCTGGCCAAGTGGGGACCCTTCATGTCCTGGAGCCAGTCTTTCCCAAGCTCTCACACAGGCCTTCTCACTCAGGAGTCCCTCGTTACCCTCCTGAGTCCAAACCCTTCTCACTCAGGAGCGCAGCTCCTAGTTCCATCTTGAGTCCTCCCAGTTCCATCCTGAGTCCCTGCTAGTTCCTTCTCTCTTCTCCAAACTTGGCCACTGCTATTTAACATATCTATGAAACCAGTTAAAGGTTATAGATATGTTAAATAACCATTCCTCCAGAGGTTAGCTCCAAAACTGTTGCTATGCAAAATAGCTCTCAATGGCCTGGCTCCATTCATCCCTTCCCCCCTGGGGGGGGGGGCGGTGAGGACATCTTATATGTCTCTCCAATATTTCTATACACTTTGAATTCTGGACACCTTTCCAAATCTTTTTTTGGGGGCCCCCCTGGCTGCACCCTGTATCAGTGGCACTGGGTTTAGCACCGGGGCAGGGAGAGAGCACGGGCAGTTCCACCGCCACCCCCAAAACCTAGTGCAGCTCAGCGGCGCCCCCTGGCGCTGGGCCTCAGAGACGCAGCGCAGGACTGGCGTTGTCGGTGGGCAGGTCCTATGGGAAGAAGTGAACCCTCAAGTCCTCAGGAAGGGTGCAGGGCCTCTAGCAGAGGAAACCGGAACCCTCGTCGTCCCGATTGGTACGAGAAAAGGGGCGGGCCCTCTGGAGGCGGCCCGTGGGGGGGGGGGAGCGTGCTCCGGCGTTCCTAGACACGATTGGTCCCCTGGAGGGGGCGGTGCCTTGGGGCGTGGGGAGCCCAGCGCAGGCCGAGAGGTCGCGGGTCGGTGGCTTCAGATCTGCCTGAAGCAACTACGAGAGTGCAGCGGTCTCGTTGGCGCCATGTCGTTCTGCAGCTTCTTCGGGGGCGAAGTTTTCCAGAACCACTTTGATCCGGGTACAACCTGTGACCTCCCAGGAGAGCAGTAGGGAGGGTGCGCACATTAGACGGGGCGTCACTACCCTTGGGGCCCCGGAGCCTCGGGAGTAGCGGGGACAAGTGTGACCGGTGGGGAGGAGCGCATATAAAGGGTATCACGGAGGGGGGAGGAGTCTGGGGGCTTGGAGAGTAGGGGTACCCGAGGAGAGGAGGACAGAGAGAGAAGAATTGACTCTCCTCAAGGAGGAAAGACTTGGAATGTGAACATGGCCATTTCCGGGAGGAATCTGTGGGGTCAGAGTACCCCACAGATTGCGGGTGGTGGGAGACCCGGATTGCGATCTGGACTTCAGAGGGCTGAAGTGGAAGGTCGTCTTGTCCAGGGGCAACTCCTGTGATAGGGCTGCTCCTCCTCGTGGCTGCCCCCTCTCTCTGGTGACCCCTGCCCTTTCAGCTCTCCTCTTTCTGGGACCCCCAGAGTAAGCTGGCAAGCACTGAACGTCCTGCTCCGGTTAGACTAGGTGATTTTCCCACCCTGCCCTGAGCCCTGGGGTTAGGAAACAGGAGTGCCACAGGCCACCAGTGGCCTGTGTAGTGAAGTTTGACAGGACAGCCTGGGCGATGTGGGAGAGTAGGGTTGGGGGTGGTTTGTGGCTTGGCAGCCCTCAGTCCTGGCCCTAGGCTTTAAGAAGTCCTGGTGAGTCTCCTGGTCTGTGCTGCCTGGCAATGGACCAATTTGGTAAAAACATGCCACAGGCAAGTTTAGGGCAGTGACTTAGTTAGGGTGGGATCTGTTGGGTACCAGCTTTCTAGGGGGTGAGGCTCTGACACTGAGCACCTATGAGTATCAGCTGTGACATAGGACACTCTGGGAAAAGCCCTCAGCTGAGACCCTCTGGCTGTGGGAATTAAGGCTGCTCTGCCACGGTGGGAGTGGTAACTCCACTCCCACGGCAGCTCCCAGTTCCTCTTTGCTTCCTCTTCCAGTTCCTGGTAAAGGCTGAATAGTTCACAAACCCCATGAGAGGCTCTCCCCGGGCCAGGCGGTGTGGGTAGGGCATACCTTCATCCAGTTCTGCCCAACCTTTTTTGAGAGCTGCACAATCATCTCTCAAAGTGATATTTTCAGGACATGTTAAAACCTGTTCTCCCTGGTCCTCTGTCTTCCTGTGTCCCCTGTCTGGCCTGGAGGGCTTTTCCCTGAAACCATTCTCCTCAGGCAGGGAGAGCAGGCCAGTGGATGGGAAGCTAGCTCAGGGCTTCGCCGGGCAGTAGGACAGCCACTTTAGAAGGGAGTGGGGCTCGGTGATGGTGCTGGCCATGTCAGAAACCCCTCTGTGTGGGGCCTATGAGGGGTGGGGGTACTGTGTTCTCGTCAGCCTCCCTGGGTTCCTTTCTGGTTGCACACCTCCTAGCTGAGTGGTTTGTATCACAGAGCTTCAACTTCCTCATCTGTTCAATGGGTAGGTCTGCATCACAGGTTGTGAAGAGTCAATGAGATAATTGTGAAAAGTGACTCTCCTGGTCTCTGGCACACACACCAAGAACCCTCAAATGTGAGCTCAGTGGTGTGTCTCCCCCACAAAACCGATACCCAGGTGGGGGTGTGGGAGGGTGTGCAGTCCGTTCTGTGAGTGCTGTGTTGTACTGGATCCAAGGATTCATGTCTCTGCTTCTGCCCCTTGTTCTACTTCCAGGTGTCTACGTGTGCGCTAAGTGTGGCTATGAGCTTTTCTCTAGCCGTGCAAAGTATGCTCACTCGTCCCCATGGCCAGCCTTCACTGAGACTATCCATCCCGACAGTGTGGCCAAGCGTCCAGAGCACAATCGGCCTGAAGCTTTAAAGGTGGGTGGTAGCAGCACGGGCTGGGAAGGGATGTTGGCTGCCCCTTCCTTCCTTTGCTCCCCCCACAGCTCTAGGGGCTTAGAGTCTGTCTATCCCAGGCATCTGGCCTCAGCCACGGAAGCCACCACCCCAAATTGTTGGGAGACCTTGGTAACTGTTGGGAGCACAGGGAAATAGGATGGCTTTCCTGCACAGGCTCCAGGAGGGGAGGTCAGCCTCTCCTGCCAGCAGTTACCTTGGGAAATGGGCTTCGGGTGGCAGGAGGGGCCATTGCTGTGGCTATTTTTTTTTTGGCTAGAAGCTCACTGGGCTGTCTTGTGCTCTTCCCAGGTCTCCTGTGGCAGGTGTGGCAATGGATTGGGCCATGAGTTCCTGAATGATGGCCCCAAGCGGGGACAGTCACGCTTCTGAATATTCAGCAGCTCGCTGAAGTTTGTCCCTAAAGGTAAGCTTGCTATCAGGCAGCGGGACACAGGTCTGTCACACATTTTAGAGGGCCTGGGCAGGGGGCACTCTCTTTTCATCCATTCACAGTGACAAAGTATGGCGGCACCAAAGCATGCTGCCCAGGACTGCCCAGAACCACCCCAAAAGACAGCTGCAAGACAGGGATGGCGGAGGAGATGTCTGGCCTCCTGTGCCTGGTCCATTACGTGTGTCCCCAAAAGGGACATCTGAGGGTGGATGTGGCAAAGGATTTTCTCCAGAAGCCTGGCTCTTCCCCTGACTGGAGTGGGAGGCTGGGCTGGGTGGAGGCTGAGAGCCAGGGCTGTCCACCTGCGGCCTGGCACGTAGTAATAGCTCAAATATGCACTCCTGTTGGCAGTGTTATTATTCATAGCTTGTTTTGGGGAGCTGTACTTCATTTTCCTGCATTTTATCTGAGCTCAGCCTCCTCTCTGGCCTTTGTTCTCTTGCACATACAAATGGTCACAAATCACTGCATATCTATTTGCACACCCAGCCACACTCAGGGCTCCTCCCAGATCTTTGTAGCTCAAATCCCAGCACCTCACTTTTCACCTGCAAGACTGTGTCCGGTCCCTAGTTTGTTTCATCCTCCATTAAATGGGGCTGCTGACAGCCCCTGCTTACTGCAGTCACTGTGGGTTAAACCAGGGTGTTCATGGGTGCTCACCCATGATAAGGTGCGATGGTGCTTTTGTCCTGTGGTGGTTATTCATTCTGTCTTGTGCAGAAAGAAGAGGCTGTGGGTTGTGACAGGCACACAGGCAGCCCTGAGCTGGGTGTCTGGGTCCTCCTAGCTCCCTGGCTTACAGGCAGCAGTGGAGGGGGTTAGCCCAGGGAATGGTGTCTGCAACACAATTGAGCAAGGATTGATTTTTCTCTCCCCTCTTTTTCTTTCAGGCAAAGAAACTTCTGCCTCCCAGGGGAAGTAGGTGGGCAGCCCTCAGCCACCCCAGATGGGTCCTACATGGTGGCCACACACTGGCCACCCTAACTTGGAACTGGAACCCCAGACATTCAGACAGGGAAGAGGGGCCAGCCAGCTGAAACATCAGGAAGGCTCCCAAGGCCTTGGCTCTGCACTGGTTCTCCGTGGGAAAAGTATGAGTGGGCCACTCATGGCCCATCTCCTGCTGCTGGGACGGGCTTGCAGGGCCCAGCTGTTAGCTCATCTTGGCTTCAGAGAGGTGGGCTCTAAGTCTGGCTCATCTGTGAGTGATGCTGCGTCCCACCTTTACTCTCCTTAGTCCGGTACCCACTCCTTGCCTGTTGGGACTCACCCCTGTGGGGCCCAATTGTAAGACAAACTTTTGCTCCCACTAAAGCTGGTGCCCATCACCATCAAGCTGTGCTAGGAGACAGAATACAAATGGGGGCGCTCCCAGCCGGCTGCTCCAGCCTCAGCCACTGCATGATTCACTCTGGTTAAACCCTTCTAGGCAGCCAGAGTGTTGATGACTTGTGACCTGTGGCGGAAGCGGGCTGAGGGGTCGGATATCCGGTCTCTTAGTTACGAGAAGAGAAACCCTGAACTCTGTTTCACAATCTGTGTGGCTGCTGCTTGCCTCACTCGGGCTTAGGAAAGCATCTATTGCTCCATAACCTTGACTGTACACAGTGGGGGGCTGTGGAGCCCCTAGCCCACGGCCCACATCCCACAGCCCTCACTGCTGCAGCTCTTGCAGTCTGGGAGGGTGGGTGATGCTGAAGCCCTCCTTCCCGTCTTGAAGCCTCTTTGGAATAATTAGGAGACAAATAAACCAATGAAACCCAGTTCTGCTCTGTTTATTTACAGCATCAGAGATGCCAGGATACAAGGTGAGCATCTCTGATGCCCATTTATTGAGCATCTGCTTCATGCTACGTTCTAGCCTCCGTGCTGGGGATGCAGCCATATGCAGGCTGGATGGGGCCGTCAAGGTCTTGGGGCATAGTTGACAGGGTAAATTCATGTCAGATGATGAGAAGGGCTGTGAGTGACTGTAGTGGAGTAATGGTGCTTGGGTTTGTGGAGGGGAGGATTAGAGGGCTGGTGCTTTGCCTCTGGTAGTGTCAGGGGTGGGGGGCAGTGCTGAGGAGGGGTCATCACAACTCAACCGTGACAACTGAGAGAAGCAAGGAGAAGAGCTTCCCAGGCAGGGGCGCAGCACACCCAAAGGCAAGGTTGGCACGCCCCAGGCCCTGTAGGGGTGGTGCAAAATGTGACCTATGAGGAGGTGTGCTGTACTCCAAAAGAACTACACAGTTTTTGTGGTTTATACTGCAAACCTGGGGAATGTGTATGGGAATAAATAGTAAGAAACGGGATCATGGTGGATAGAACATGAAGTTGGATCAGGCTGAATTTATTGATAGGGGCTCCGTTAGCGGAGACTCTGGATTTAATGTTGAGGTTAGCAAGCGTTCTAACAGTTTGTTTAGTTGCCTGAGACATGGCCTGAGGTGGCCCATGCTGAACGGGGTTCAAATGCCAGACCTGTCTTAGCCTACTCTACAGAAAGGTATCCAAAGGCTTAGGGAGACTGGAATGTCACAGCGGATTTGTCATTTAAGACCCACCCTGGGAGTGTCGGGGGACACACCTTTCACCACCACTGTGAGGGGAGCCCCAGCATCCCGGGAGAGCTCTGCGACCCCTCCTCAGCGTAGGCCAGGACCGACATGAGGGCTGATGCCATGGAACTGGGAAACCTACACAGTGGGGTCATCGGGCCCTGACACGTCAGGGTCCAAGTGGAGGTGCGCCTAATGGCCAGAGGTGGTGGGCGTGGTTGCCCTCATAGACAGCATGGTCAAAGCAGCAATGGCCCTGGCTGGTTGGTTAATCATGATGTCCCTAGAAGTGAAATAGGTGGGAAGCCTGCTGAATTTTCATTTGATCTGTAGAAGCAGAAGTGTTCTAAGTTAAGTGAACAGAAGTCTAACTTGAATCATAAAACAGAGTCATGACCCCTCAACCAGTTCCCAGATGTGAGCCAGTTTACGGACCCAGGACTCCTTGAATAAAGGGAAGGCCAGGACCGCTTAAGGAAAAATGCTGCTATGCTGCTAAAATGTATAGCATTAGTCTTTCTTCCCGCCTTTCTTAAAGGGACCTACAGCCTTTTCCCAGATTGCCTGTGTGGGAAAAAGAATGTAATCAGACATTTTGAGGACTTCTGACCAGTGGCTCTAAACCAATATCACCTAGAAGACGCAGACCTCACTGTCAGAGTAGGGGCCTGTGGAGGCCTTGTGGGGTTTTAGCTGAAGCCCCATTTCACAGCGGGTCCCCAAATCCATCCTGTGGTTTTCCCCCAGTTCTGAATGCATAACTGGAATAGACACACTGCAGCTGGGGGCACCCCCACCTAGGGGAGAGAGGAGGTGGGTCCACAGGTGTGAGGGCAGAGGTGTCAAGGTAGGAGTGGCTGGGGAGGGAGAAGGACGGTAAGGTTCCTGTGTTACTGGCCTATTAAGCCTGGTTAATTCCTCAATGATGGGACTCTTCGCTCCCCCAGTCCCTAACAACAGGCCAGGAATCCTGACTCTGGAGTGAGGTCACCGGCCTGCGCAGGGGCTGCTGGCTTACTTGCTGGGCCCCGCACAGGCCTCAGTTCACTGCGCAACGTCAGGCAGAGCACTTAACCTTCCTCTGTCATCGGAACCCAACCTGTCTCCTTGTTGGAGACAGGAGAGGCATGGGGGTGGGTAGGGGGCGACGAAGATGCACGGTTTATGAAGTCTGCTCACATGGGAGCCCAGAGATGGATAGCCACCGGCAAAGTCTGTCTGCCGGGGGCCTGGTAGGGGATGCATATCTCATGTGGAATCATAAATTATTCCCCACTCCCTCCTCCAGTGAGTTACACCATAACCTTGGCCTGCAGCCCCTGTTCCTCCTTGAGAAACAGAAGGCTCTTTGAGAGCCCAGTCCCTTCCACTCTAATGCACCCTCCTTGCCAGGGTGGCCATCAGGCACAGCCTTGCAAGCCCAAGGCTGCGCGTTCAGGGCCGTACAGCTTTTGGTGTTCTGCTATTACTAGCCAGTAGCAGCCTGAAGGTGGCGGCACCTGGCCAGTGTACCCCAGGCAAGGCTACAAGTGAAAGAGAGAATAAATCTGCCTGGGCCCCGTTCAGTGGCTCAGAGAATCACTCAATAAACGCTTACAGGATGGATGAGTGAATTGACAGTGCTCGGGACTTTCGCTCACCCACAGTTTTCTTTTCTTTTGAATGGCGAGTGCCAGGGAGATCCATGACCCTGCTGGGGCGTGGCTCGGGCAGGTCGGGAGGGAAGCCCCTGACTATGCCTGAGGGTAGGGCGGGTAACTGAGAGAGTGGGCCCGGGGGAGTCGCCAAACCAGATGGGGGCCACCGTGCGCCCACCCCCGTTATGAGGTCCTGGGGGAAGCCCAGCGCGATTACTTTCTTCTCGGGCCTAGAGTTCTCAAGGTCCCCTCGGGGGATTGGGCTCAGAGACTGTGAGCAGGACTGACCTGCAGGGGGAGCGCTCGCCCCACCCCGCTCCTGTTCCCTGAGGCGCCCGGGGGCGAAGCAGCCAAAAGTGCGGTGCCAGGGAAGCAGGCTGAGTCCTCCTGACGTCGGAGGGTGCGGGGCCGGTGGAGTCGAGGCCCCATTTGGTGAGTTTCAATAAAGTACCAGGTGGCTCTTCCTGAGTCAGTTGAAGAGGGACAGAGATGAGTGGGGGGACGGAACAGGCTGTGGGAATGGGAATGGAATGGCAGGACACAGGTGGAGGCAGGATGCTTCTGGCCCCAGCCCAGGGCAGTTGGGTGCGGCTCACCTGCACTGATGCTAGGGCCTCCTCTCCCGGCCGCCCTCCCATGCCCTCACATGCCCTCACATTGCCCCAGCTGCCATCCTGACCTACTGCAGGGCGCCAAGTGCTGAGGTTCCACCTCCCATGCATCTTTGCCCATTTGCCTTCCCCACAACAATGACAGCTCCTAGCTGGCCTCCTCCGATCAGTGTGGTCTTTGCAAAAGAGTCATCAGACCAGGTAACTTTCCTCAGTGGTAACCAGAGACACTGCTTGCTGGGGTCCGCAGACCCCAGCTCTCCAGCTTGATTTCCCACTCCATAAATGACAGCAGCGTTATTTATCATAACCTTGTGTGTTTTATGACCCACACCCCCTGCACCTTCAGCCGCGGGGCTTCTACACAAGACAGATTCTACTCTAGAAACAGGCCCTGGTGTCCCTGCCTTCTGGATTTGGTTTTTCTTCGTTCTCATCCCCTACCCCCATATGCCAGAATCCTCCTGAATGTCTTTCCTGATGGCTCTGCCCCAGTGGCTCTCTCCTTCCCCCACACTGTAGGGGTCCTGGGGAGGCCTCCCATACAGGTGCACAGACTGGCTTCTTGCAATCCCTTTGCGGGTTTCACCCGACCCCAGGTCAACAACTCCTCAGTACCAGCGACTAGGGTGTATTTATCTCATTTTCTTTCCCAGTTGCCGAGCCCTTGGGGGGCTCACGTAGTAGCATCAGTTGAATGTAGGTATATCCAATTGGACTGCCTTTTTAAAAAATAAGTAAATCTTTATTTTTTTAAAGATTTTATTTATTTATCTTTAGAGGGGAAAGGAAGGAGAGAGGGAGAGAAACATCAATGTATGGTTGCCTTTTGTGCGTCCCCTGCTGGGAACTGGCCTGCAGGGAACTGGTCTGCAACCCAGGCATGTGCCCTGACTGGGAATCGAACTGAGGTTGTCTGGTTTTTGCAGGCCTGTGCTCAATCCACTGAGCTACACCAGCCAGGGCTGGACTGCCTTTTGTCCACTCCCTCAGCATCCCCTCTGCATGAGTGTGTCGCTGGTTTGGGGCAGGAAGGGACCCTAGGACCACCTATCACTCTACCCTGGCCCTGGGTACTGGGACTCTGCTTAATGGAGCTTGGAGGCAAGAAGTACAGGAAGGACAGTTGGTTACCTGCAGACAAGCTCTTTCCTCCCCAGCCCCTCAGCCCTTGGCCCCCCCCTCCCCGCCCCCAGCGCCTGCCTCCAGGCATGATTTCTTTGTTCCTTGTTGAACCCCAGAGTCTATTCACAGTTCAGCCCCTGGCTTCCTGTTTTACCAGGTTTCACCTTGCACCAGTACGTTTACAAGCTACTTTTGACTTCAAAGAGCTTGGCGGCCACATTGCCAGGGGGAAGGGAGGCAGAGCCCAGAGGAGCTGGGGCCTTACGGGGTCTGCCCCCGGGAAGCGCAGGCTGCTTGTTGCCCCGGGATTCCTCTTCCACTGGTCCTACGGTGTCTTTTTGCTTCCTTAGTCTCCAATTGTGGCTTTTCCCTCTGGGCCCCCATCTCTGAGCCCAGAGCCCCTGGTGTGTGTCTGGATGTGGTGGGGGAGGGCAGGGAAGCTACGGTCAGAGGGAGGACAACAATGTACTTGTACAGGTGGGGTCACTGTTTTTTGAGGGGAGAGAAGGGGTCATTGTTGAAGGTCCATTGCTTCAGAGCAGGAAGCTTCAGCATAGGGAGTGCCCAGCTGGGGAGGGGTGAGGAGTTCGAGGCACTTGCCCCGAGATGCTGGACTCCAGGCTCTGGGTTCTAGGTCTTCCAGATCACTGAGCAATGCTTGTCTGTATGTCTGTCTGACCAACCGTACGGGTGGGGTGCTTCCCTGGAAGTGAAGCGGGTGGAGTGCAGCTTTCCCTGCATGTCTCATCTGCTGGCCAGGCTGGACTTATTCCTGGAAGTGGGTCACTGGTATATGGGGAGATTCAAACTTAGGGCTTTGCACACTGTGGGGACAGTGGCCGGGGCC